TTGCTCAAAACCACAAGACCGTCCAGTGTGTTCATTTGCACAGTACACCTCCAACGTCTAGTTCCGACACCCCAATGGCTAACCGACATCACATATCCACAGAAAAGTCTAGTGCTAACATTCATCTCATCACCGATTGTCCCTTGTTCACTTCTGCATAGTCACACATCAACAGTCAACACCTCATGGTCAATTATCTAGCGTTCACAAAGTCACCTGGCCAGACTATCCATTGAATGCATTTCAACAGTGCCATCAAACCCTAGCATCTATGACTGTGTATTTGTTCATTCAGTGCTCACATACCTCAGCGGCCTGCATGAGAACAACAATCATTGGGCCGTGTCATGCCTAGACGGGCCAAAACAACGGGCTATGGCGCATGCCCATGGGCCTTGGGCCATTTGGCCATATATACGATTAGCGCACACATATATAATCTCTTCTCAACCCTATTCTCGAGGACCATATATCCATCCAAACTTCCACCACCGCCACCCCTTTGTCCGTGATTTCCTCTCTGATGCCCCAATGGACTTCCCTCATGCCCTCTCTTTGTCCACGAGTTCCTCCTCAACTTCCCTTTGACCCTCCTGACGGCACGGGCTTGGCGCGTAGATCCGCCCGGTGCAGGGGGCGTCCGACTTCCCTTTGACGATGCAAGGGTAGCGGCAACCCTGGCTAACAAGTCTCGGTGACGGTGAAGGGGCAGATCCACCCGGCGCAGGGGGCGTCCGACTTCCCTTTGACAATGCAGGGGTAGCGGTGACCCTGGCCAACAAGTCTCGGCGACGGCGAAGGGGACCCCAACTGGCTCACGACCGTTGTAATGCCCCAGAGTCCAAACAGCTCAGATCCACTCTACATATGCTGAGTGAACCACACCAACCACCATCCCACTTACGCTTTCGTCCTCGCTTTGCGTAAAAGGATTAACCTGGGGATGGTGAGATGGACTCTAGAAGCCTTATATGTTGGTCTAACCCACCTTTAACAACCAAGGTGGGACTAAACCCTCCACAATATCTCAATAACATGCACATGGGTCACTACGGGCCAACTTCCAAACTGTGCCGGATGTCACAGCTGTAGATGAGGAACGTGGCCTCACTATCAACACGGTGGCAATGAGACCGCATCCACCACCGGGGCGAGGCGGGCCCCCAAGACGGTCCGACCTGGCTAAACCCTTCTAGGGTCGTGCTTGGGCCGAAGGCATAGCCCATAGGCAAGCATGGCACAACACGATCTACTACTATGGTCGTGCCGGCCCAACCCCTGTCAGGTCGTGCCTTGACTGGGCCCATGTCGTGCCAGGCCGGGCGACCTATTTGGCCATCTATACCTCAGCGGCCGAACTGTTGGTTGCTTTAATTTAAACAATACTCTTCTCACCTGAGTATTGGTCGGCTGTACTTTTGTCTGGAGTTGGCTTTTTCCTTACCACCGCACCATCCGCTGTGTGCACTTTCTTTTGGTTCACTTCTAACTTGTTCGAATGAACTCCTATTGAGGTGAAACTTGTTCTATTGGATTCCTTATTGCACCACCAAGCTTTTTCTCGATCATGTGTTCATCAAGACTGCACGACCATGCACACTGAAACATCTGGTTGAGCATTTCCATGCTTGCACCCCCCTTGTTGGTGATCCTAACTCTTGGAAAAAAGGTCTTGAATCCTTGAGTCTTCACTTGCAACACTTGACTCCACAATGACCCACTTGATCTTGAGTCCCCGATTGCCTTCACTTTACTTGTTGATTGATCTCCGTAATTATTCAATCTTGAGTTCTTTGATTGTCTTCTCATCGACCATTGGGGATGTCTTCATTCTTCAAGCATTGTGGCCTAGTGTTAGCACTTAGTCTTCCAATCCATACACTAGCCACACATGCCTAGTGTTCCTCAATTCGCTTCTTGATTAATGCTTGAAGGCACTTTAGGGCATTCATAGCATAGGAATTTCATTGACCGTATATGGAACAAGCAGTGGTCTTAACTGAAAAAAGCAAGAGACTACGCCTTATGCATAAGACCCGATCCTATGGAGTAAGAATATCAAGCGACGTGCAATGTGCCTAGGAATGAAACCTGATTGGATATAGGTGAATATCAGTGATCATGTATTCTATCCCATATTTTTTCTCGGATCGATCATGTCGGATATTGATATCTATCTCATATACATATCAGAAATCTAATTTTGAGTATTCGAATTTGGATACGGCAGGGTGAATTGTTTTCTCCTCTCAAGCCGGACCCTCATAGCTGAAGCTGGTCTCAAACATAGCAGCTTCCGACCTTATATTTTGTGGACCCTGCCTTAAGGCCGATGGTGGTCTCGCACGCTAGGGATGCCCTTATTCATCTTCATGTTTTGTGACCTAATATTAATCAGTTTCTCCAAAGCACACACGTTAGTCACAAAAGCATTGGTTTTATTAACCACCGAAATCAAACTACTAACTAAGAGGTATAGAAGCTCACAATGTCATACATTTTAATAGGCGCAATGACCAATCAAGCAAATTAGCTTGATGTTGATGCCTAACCACCGAACCTCCTATCGACTGGATCTTCTCCTTATTTTTATTGACTGATGGCGATGTCTATTACTCCATGTTATCTTCTCCTAATATAAGAAGACGGTACCTGAAATGAAAACCTTCAAGTGTCAACTGGCCACTATAATCTCTCAGCATTTCTGCAGGAAGGAGAGGATTCAGATCGTCAATGGCGCACGCGAAAGCAGGAGCGTCTCTGCCGGTGCCCAACGTGCAGGCACTCGCTCAGACTTGGCATGGATCAGGCGAGCCGGTGCCTGGCCGGTACGTCAGGACAGAGGAGATGGGCGCTGGGGAGGTCGTCGCCGGCTGCGCCATCCGGGTCGTGGATCTCAGCAGGTTGCTTGACCCGCGGTCGTCGGAAGAGGAGCTCGCAAACCTCGGCTCTGCCTGTCAGCACTGGGGTTTCTTTCAGGTACGTATACATACGTACGTGATTGGTCATACATTTCCCATGTTTTGACTAGCTTGATTAGACACTATACGGCGTAAAATCACAACGCGCGCTGCTTGATGCTTGTGCACAGCTTATCAACCATGGGGTGCTGGACGAGGTGATCCAGGACGTGAAGAGAGACATGATCGAGTTCTTCAAGCTCCCGCTGGAAGCCAAGAAGGTGCACGCTCAGGTACCGGGCGGTCTCGAGGGCTACGGCCAGTCCTTCGTCTTCTCCGAGACCCAGAAGCTGGACTGGGCGGACATGATCTACCTCATGATCAGCCCCAAGGAGTCGCGGGACCTGAGGTTCTGGCCCACCCGGACTCCCTCCTTCAGGGACTCCGTCGACAGGTACTCGGCCGAGACGGCGAAGGTGACGGCGAGCCTGCTGCGGTTCATGGCCGCGGACCTGGGCGTGGAGCCGGAGCACCTCCTGGAGGCGTTCCGGGGACAGCCGCAGAGCATGCGGACGACCTACTACCCGCCGTGCAGGCAGGCCGCCGATGTGCTGGGCCTGTCGCCGCACACCGACGCCACCGGCCTGGCGCTGCTGCTCCACGTCAACGACGTGCAAGGCCTGCAGATCAGGAGGGACGGCAAGTGGCACGCCGTTAACCCTCTCGATGGCGCTTTCGTCGTCAGCATCGGCGACATACTGGAGGTATATATAATAATGACACTGTAATATATTTTCTCATAACATACGAGAGATGTTGAATTGACGATAGGCAGACAGTTGACCCAAAAACTCTAATTTTCATAACAACATACGAGAGATGATGATAGGCACAGACAGTTGACCCAAAAACTCTAATCTTCATAACAACATACGAGAGATGATGATAGACACAGACAGTTGACCCAAAAACTCTGATCTTCATCAACTCGTGAGCATTTGCGGCTTGCAGATTCTAAGCAACGGGAGGTACAGAAGCATTGAGCACAGAGTCGTGGTCCACCCGGACAAAGAGCGCATCTCGGCGGCGATGTTCCATCAGCCCTGCCCCAACACGACGACCGGCCCTCTGCCGGAGCTCGTGAATAGAGACAGTGGCGGGGCGCGGTACAGATCCATGGACTACATGGATTTCATGAACAACTTCTTCGCGTCCAAGCTCGATGGACGGAGGAGCCACATGGACGCTATGAGGATCTACTAGTCCAAGCTGGATCAGCCGACGACTGGGCCGTTCTCCTGTTCCTGTCTTATGGTTCTTATGATGCATTATCTCTGAAAAACAAATTACAGGACTTTTGTGATGCATGTATTAAAATGAAACGGGCACTGCATATTTGGTTCTATAGTCGTCTGGAACCAAACCAACTTCCAAGGTAGCCTGAAGTCTCAGAAAATACTGATTTATCGCGAGAGGAAATCACTGTTCATTCACTGAAAAGTACTACTTATGCTGATTTGTCATGCTGCTTATGCCAGTGGCCCTGTTCGTTTCGCTGAAATTTGACTTATGCTGATTTATTATGAGAAGAAAACACTTTTCGCTCACTTATGACTAGAGTGTTCACTTTGCTGCGTCTGCCAACCACATGAAATTCAACTAAAAATCATCACAATCCAAACAGGTGATGCACATTTGCATCTTGAAAGGGCAGTATAGAACCACGAAAACTTTATAGCATTACAACATGGTTAACTTGTTTACATATAAGTTGACTGTGGTACTCTGAACAGTAATCAATTTGCTTAGATTACATTCACAAAACTGCAATGTTGTTGGTAAGAAACCTAAGGAACAATACGAACATTAAGTGATAGATTATCACAGGGGACTGCACCTGTTAAGGTTTGTTATTACAAAAGAACAAAACCACGCCACACGAAGTTGGATTTTTTTCTAGAAATTTGCGCAATGGTTGCAAACAAGCATGGCCAGAGCCAGGGAACAAAGATTTGCGGCCCCCAAATTACAAAGCATCTATTCAATGTGCCAAACATGCTTCCATAAAACAGTAGACTATCTTTCAAGAACAAACCAACTTTATTCAACTTTCCTGGGGTCTGCCTGGGGCTTCCAGAGACCAAGACGGTACTTGTGAGCAAAACTCAAAATCAACTTTCTCTGCATTGTAGGGGGAATAATTAAAAATTTAGATTAGCACAGATACTTGTTCTCAATATTAACATTAATTCTTTAAAAAAAATACAGAACTAAACGGCAAAACATATTTCAATCAAGACAAAAGAAAAATGTTTGCGATCAAGACCATACATGTCTTAATCCACCAGTAAATGTTAGGAACAGGTTAAATAGATTTTGCTTCAACCTTGGGTCCAAGTATAACTAGATTTGGTTAAACTGGAATGAATACTTGATTTGTACCTAAGTACAGACAGATTTGTTTAAACTAGATTTAGAGCCTAAAGTAAAACCGAATGTTTCAGAAATCTTAATTTTTTCAGATACATGGATAGGAAGAAACTTGGATATTAAAAGTCTGTTTTTCTGGTAGTTAAATAATGTGTTCTAACCAACTTCTATCTGATTTTCAAAAATATGAAAAATGTATTTAGAGAAACAGTGTAGATGCTGTTTTCCAAAGTCAACACTATCCCAATGGAACAAAAACTTAAAACTAGCATTTTTAGAAATAAAAAAAACAGTATGTACTAAACCTAAAAACTTTCGGTAAGGTACGCATACAGTTTTAGACTCTAAAACCTACTCATATCTTCCTAAACCAATTAATCCGAAACCAATTGAGAAGTTCATGACCCAAAAAAGGCAATCTAAATATGTGCACTAACTTTAAAACATCAGTAGGTCCACACCATGTAACCGTAGTTGCTACTACTACAATTATTGCTCACAATATTACTTCAGAACTCAAAAAATCTCACAAATGAAGGCAATGTAAGTGAGGAGGTGCTAAATCTCATCAACAAAATTATAAATTTGTGCATTTCCTTTCTCTGTGGGTACAGGTAGTCCATTTCCTTGAAAACACCCAAAAGAATACCCCACATATTTCAGTCTACAAGAATTTAAGTGACTAAAGCGATCAGTGTATTGCCTTGTGGTTAAAAGTGAGAGCAATGAAAATGACTAGCACGTTGTTTAGAACTCAGTGTTTCAATTCGAAGAACATCAATGCCATGATGTGTCTTTCAAATTCAAGTTTAAGTTCCTAGTGCCTGAAACCAAAATGCATGGAAATTTCTCAGACACTGATGTTATTGACTTTCATATGCTTCAAAAACACCATTACGCAAGCCCAGATTGGCCATGGTCATGCACATGCACTCATGGACATACACATGAACGAAAATTCACCTCAAAGTGGCAGTGCAACAGCACAGCACATTCTTGACATTCATATATTCCTTACAACAATATTGAATACAAAGATTGGGTCATGTGAACTCTCAAGATATCATAGGTCATAGCAATAAAAACATTAATTGAAAAACTAACTGGATAACTTGAACTGAAAAAAAAATGCTCTTAACTTATCACATTTCTCATTCATCATTAAGTATTTAATAAAGTTTAGATAATATTAGGAGACCCATACTGATATTGTAGTCTTGTTGGCTAGTCAAGCTTGTGAAGTGATAGGTTGATAGGTTGCAACTAAAAGTATGGCCTAGTTTTTAGTAATTTTAACCCCAGTTAGCCAAAAAAAAAAAAACTCTCAGAAGCAGAATGTCCCATTAGCTTCGTTTTTTCATTACAGTTTTTCAGCTTTCATGGCCGCTCGCTAGATATAGGATATAAAACAACGTAAGGGATACCACTGGAACAAAATAATCACTACAAATTAGGCTTGGCTAATTTGTCCTAAAAGCATGTTAAGTTCAACTATAAACATGCAAATTGCCTCACATGTTAGGCAACCTAGCTATATGAAGAGAAGCAATTCGTATGCCAACAACCAAACAAAAACACAGCAGCAACTCTTCTCACTAACATTTGACAAGAATCTACAAACTCAGATTGGATGCAACAATCCAATAATTGTACAGCAGCAGAACTGCCATATACAACAAAACACGATCAATCCCAACATTTCCACGACGAAATGCCAAGAAAACAAGTCACTACATCTACATGACCAACTTGCTTGTAGATTATAGACTACAAGTGGCACAAGAAGAGAAATCAGAGCCTTACATGCTTGCAGGGGATGCCGAGCTTCTTGAGCCGCAGCGTGCGGGCCACGAGGAGCCTCTGGAGGTCGCCGCCCACAGCCTCCTCCAGCTTCGCGGCGTGCGCCTCCACCCCCTTCCCGACGCCGTTCAGGAACTCCACCACGCCGACCTTGGCTGCGCCCCGGAAGGAAGGATCCGACTCCAGTCACGAAAAAGAAGCAGCACGGAATTTGTGACGGAGGTCGGGGAGGGCGTACCTTGGTAGGGCTGGGCATGGAAAGATCTCGCCGGGCCGCCGAGGAGGAAGCGGCGGGCGTGAGCGGCGCACGCGAGAGCCATGCGACGGAGAGAGAAAGAGACACTCGAGAGACGGGCGGAGGCCTTCTGGCGGCGGTGAGCAGAGCGCAGCGCAGGGGGAGTGCACGGTAGGGTATAGGCAGGAGGAGGTGCCCGTGCGCCGCCGGCCCGCCGCCCTGGAGGGTGAAGACTGGAGAGCTCGCGTTGCCGTCCAGCCCAATTTTTTTTTCAATTCGGCCCTTTTTTAAAGAAAATTTAGGTTTAACCCCTGGGCAACTTAAACTGATCTTCGGACCCTTGGAGTCGGCGCCGAGGTAACACGTCTCGGCGTCGTAGGTCTTGACGTCGAGATGCCTGGCCGGTAACAGCGGGGCAGCCAAGGTGGCGCTGACGTGGCAGGTAGGTCGGAGCCATGGATCTCGACGTCGACCTCGGAGCCATGGATCTCGGCGCAGACCTCGGAGCCAGGATCCCTAGCGCCGAGCTCGGATTCAAAACACACGCCAAGGTTTCTCTGGCCGAGGCTTCTTTCATTTCTTCCTCCTTGTTCTCGGGTTTTTGCTCTCCCTAAACCATCCAATCGCTTGAATCGAGCAATTTGACATTAGAAAATTGGATTTGATCCATAGATCTTCGAGAGCATATGTTATCTCCCCTCCTCATTTTTTACGTACTGGTTTAGTATATATTATGTGTGTTTTGTAACCCTAAATACATTAGTACTTATTGTTTGAAGTTATTATTAATTTTTTTGTATTACGTAACAGTAGGATGCTAAGGCATGACAAAGCTAGTAAACCAAGTTAATCTCTGTCAATCGTGTTATATTATTGGTTCATTTATGTGCAACAAATGAAAAACCCTAGGTTTAGGGTTTAATGGTCATTGCTTTTGGTTCTTAGAACAAAATTGGTTCATTTGTAGTTATGGCCGGATGACCGAAAATGCTTTTGACCCACTGCCTCTGCCTAGTGGTATTACAGTGTCTATGTGCTTTTGCGGTGATCCTTATAAGGTAGCGAAGTCCAATAAAGAGGACACGTATAGGCAGAGATATTGGATGTGTGCCAATTTTTCCTTTGAGCCTACACTTTATCGGCGCCGCATTAACAACATGGTGGAAAATTGATGTTGTATAATAATTATTTTGTGTCATATGAAGTCATGCATAGTTTATTTGGTGTGTAACATTTGAATGTATTGCAGACCCCTCCATCGCTCTATGATTTTGAGCAATGGATCGACACTGAGATCAAGCCAGAAGACAAGTAGTGAATGCAGAAACTTTTGCGGTGGGAGACAGAGGACAAGGAGTTGATTGAGATGAGACGCAACGAGGTGGCTGTGGAAAAGGAGCACAAGGAAGAGGAGGAAAGGAGGCGTGTTGCTGCGTACAGGGAGGAGAGGGAGAAGAAGCTTGAGCATGCGCGCTGAGCGAAAGCAGCGATGGAGGAGAATCCCGATGCTCTGAGGAAGGGAAAGTGGCCTCGTTGCACTCAGTAGTCTCCATGACTTGCTAGTTTTATGGTTTATTCATGAACAATGTTGTCTAGTCTTGGACTTTTCATTGTGTTGTCATGTACTGCACTTTAATTATGGACGTACTTAGGCTATTTACTGTGTTATTTAGTTTGTCGGCATGTACTTCTATTATCATTGTGTTGTTTAATGTGTCATAGTATTAGCTTTTCATTGTGTCGTTGTTTTCATTATTTGTGGTCATAATATTCAGTTTAATATTGCAGAGGTAGTAAAACGAGTTCACGTACTGCAAATAAAACATAACGAACTAGTGCATTACATAATTCGACATACACAACACATGAAATGGCATGTGAGAATATGTGTCAAACTAGGGTACAGAGGCTCTCGACTAAACCTAACATGCCTTAGATGATTGAAGCGAACAGCAAGCACATGAAATAGCATGTGAGAACATGTACCAAACAAGGGCACATAGGTCCTTCGACTAAACCTAACATACCTTAGGTAATTAAAGAAAACAACAAACACATGGATGTGGCATGTGAATAAGATACGTTCCTCCTAGTAGTGTGGCCACATAGCAAATTATGTTGCACCTTCTCCATAGCATCCTCCCATTGTTGATGGTGGGGGTTATAGGGTCGAGATGGCGACTAGAGGGGGGGTGAATAGTTATTTCTAAAACTTAATCGCGTCGGCTAATCGAAACAAGTGCGGAATTAAAACTATCGGTCTAGCCAAGACTACACCCCTCCATCTATGTTCTCTAACACCTTGCAAAGATCCTAATTAAGCAACAAAGGTGTCGAACTAGCTAGAGCTCACCTAATCAATTCTAGAAGTAAGGTCACACAAACCTAAGCCACTAGTACTTTAACCAACGGGAAGCTCCTACACATGCTAGTAAGCAAAAGCACAAAGCCAACTAAGCTCACTAGCAATGCTCAATAACAAGGCAACCAATGTCAAATTAGAGAGCACAAATACTTAGCTACACAAACTAAGCAAAGTGACTAACAAGGTTACACAAACCAAATTAGTCACGCAAGGGAGCTACTTCTATGCTACACAAGCAAGAAGGTAACTAGTGAGCTATACAAGCAAACTAATTATAAGAGCAACTACACAAGCACAATGTATATAAAAGTAATCACAAGCTTGTGTAAGGGGATTGCAAACCAACGGGAAGAACAAGGTTGATACGGTGATTTTCTCCCGAGGTTCACGTGCTTGCCAACACACTACGTTCCCGTTGTGTCGACTGCTCACTTGGTGGTTCAGCGGCTAATTGGCATCACTCGTCAAGCCCGCACATCGGGCACCGCAAGAACTTACCCCGAAAGTGAGGGTAGCTCAATGACACGCTCAACTAGAGTTGCTCTTCGTGGCTCCCGCGGGGCGAGCACAATGCCCCTCACAAAGCTCTTCTCCGGAGTACCGCACAAGCTTCTTGCGGGCTTCGACGGAGACCACCACCAAGCCGTCTAGGAGGTGGCAACCTCCAAGAGTAACAAGCACCACCGGCTTGCAACTCGATCACCTAGTGCCACTCGATGCAATCTCACAATGCAACGCACTAGAATCACACTCACGCGCAATTGATTCGCACTCTTGCAAGCACAAGTGAGTTAGAGGGCATCCAAGCATTCCTACACAAGCCACATAGGCGTGAGGGTGCTCAACAACTAGCCCAAGGCCGGCCACACACTCCTTTTATAGCCCCAAGGGCTAAAATAGCCATTACCCCTTCACTGGGCAAAACGCGCACTAACCGGACGCGCAGGTCATAACGACCGGACGCGCAGGTCGTAGAGTCCGGTCGCTAGGATGATGCCACGGGTCCCCTCCTTTCGAAGCCGACCATTGGGCTTCAACGGCTAGCTCCTGTGTGCGCATACTCTTGACCGGACGCGCCTAGGTCCAACGATCGGACGCGCCAAGGCCGAGTCCGTTTTCCAACACATTTCTACACAATTGACCGGACTCTCCTTTCTCCTACGACCGGACTCGACTCTCCCAGCGTCCGGTCACTTACAGAGAGGTTTCAAAGATGTTTTTCAGTGACCAGACACGTCCGATCATCACTGACTGGACTCTCTATGCGTCCGGTCGCTTCTGGACACGCTAAAAACACTGACCGGACGCGCAGGTGCTGACCGGACGCGCAGGTCGTAGAGTCCGGTCATAGACCTTTCAGCGCTAAAACGGCTATAACTCTTAGCTCTGAACTCTGATTTCGATGATCTTGGACATTTTGGAAAGCTTACTCAGAGGGCTACACATCCCACATGCATACTTGATCCAAATCACAATGGATCAAAATAGTATTCCAATCCAATGACCATCCTATAGTTCGGAGTACACCGAAAAATCTTTTTCTCTTCTCTAAGTTGATTCACAACAACTCTAACTTCTCCTTTGCAAATGTGCCAACACCACCAAGTGTGCACCACTATGTGTATGTGTGTTAGCTTTTCATAAATATTTTTTAAAGGATTAGTCACTCAACTTGCCACGCCACTCGATTCTAGTAATGATGCAAAGTTAGATCACTCGAGGGGCACTAGATGACCGATATGCAAACAAGTTTGCCCCTCTTGATAGTACGGCCATCTATCCTAAACCCGGTCATCAACTTCTCTACACACCTATGACTGGTGGAATGAAATGCCCAAGGTTATACCTTTGCCTTGTGTATTCCATTCCATCTCCTCCAATGTCAATGCAACACATGCACCAACATGATCAACAATGATATGATCAACTTCATATCATCATGTGATTATATTGGTTCATCGATCTTGACTTCACTTGCTTTTCACCGTTGCCTTCGTCCATCGGTGCCAAGTCTTGCTCAAGCTTCACCGTCATGCGGTCCATCGCTCCAAAGCCTCCGACTTGCCCTTCACGCTTGCAACCGGTCCATCAAGCCAAGTCTTGTCTTGATCTTCTCCACCTTGATCACATGACTCAATGTCATGTCTCATGTGCAATAAGCTCCTTCATCATCACATGTGTGAGCTTTGCAACATCTCCAAACCATTTTCACCTTCACGGCATATGTTGCTCACACACATGTACTTGTGGACTAATCACCTGTGTATCTCACATAAACACAATTAGTCCACCTAGGGTTGTCACTCAATTACCAAAACCACACAAGGACCTTTCAGGGGTGGCGGGGGTGGCGGCGGAGTCCCCTTGTTCTTGTGATTAGGGCAGGTGTAATATGGATCATTACAGAGTGCCTCCTGTGAACCGGCACCATTGTTGTTGTTGTCATCATCGTCGTCGTCATCCTTGTAACCGCTGCTAACTTTCCTTTCTAGCTCGAAGATACGGTCCTACAGGTAGTAGATGTACTGCTGATGTGGATAAATTGGATGTGGATCGACCCACCTAGTGAACACATAGTTTTCTTTAGACTTGGAAGACTGCAATAAGTATGTCATGTAAGTTGTAGTGCAATCGAGAAACATATTTAACAAATGATTAGTAATAGTAATTACCCATGCTCACGGGCATTTGAAGAAGCGACGGCCTCCATCCATTCCCTC